ATTTGAAAGGCGGGACGAATATTTTTTTGACGCAAGCGCTATTGTAGTAGGACACACCCCCACCACTCGAACTGCTTGGCGAACACACTGATGGATAGAGAAAAAAAAAGTTATCGCCAAAGTTTTTCCCAATACAGCGAAAGAGCTGACGATGATGGAAAAACGTAACGAATGAAAAAAAAAAATTCAACAACAGCAACACACGAAACGGGCGAAAAAAAATGTTTTTTTTCTGCGTTTGACTGCTGTGTGTGCGCTGCGTTCACGAATACACAATTTTTTTTCATCTGCGTCCGTGTATTTTAACTTCGTTTGTTTATTACGCGAACAATTTTTATGTATGTACATGTATGTTTGGCCGAATGTGTGTTGTTTTGCATAGGCATGGAATATCGACTAGCTATCAACGAAACAAGGAAACCTAACTAGCGAAACAAATAAAACAACCAGCGAGACGAGATGTGAAACATACAACACACAAAATATCCGAATGAGAGAAAAAAAAGCGCGGCGAGAGAGATTGGCAACAGCACGGCAGCCAACACACAGCAATACAGCCAACAATACACAGCAGCAGCGGCAGCATAGCAAGCACTCATCACACCGAAATTCTAATGCCCATTCAATACATGAAGTATAATTTGGTCCGTTTCTTTTTAATGCGTCGCGATGCTCCAGTCACGCTGTTTCAGCGTCATTGTTGATACGCGTAATCGCCATCAGCCGCGCAATGCCGGCAATAATTTTCTTATATTTATTTTTTAATTCTCTTTATGCGAAAAAATAAAATAAAGTGAAAATTTTCTATAAAAATAAAAATAAATTCCATTTTTTGGCCAATATAATCAATACACACACAACAAAAACAAACCAAACAAAACTAACGACAACAACAAAATCGTCACACACAAAAAAAAATTTAACCACAAATTAAGGCACCAAACAACAACAACAAAAATTTACGTCTAGAAAGCGATTTGTTATCTTTAAAAAATATACACACAAATTCAAGAAAACAAACAAAATTAAGAAAAAGAAAACCTAAATCTAAGTATATTGTTGTCAAAAAAAAAATATATTTACATATTTTATACACCTTTCGAAAAACACGAAGTAAACCAAAAACAAACGAAAAAAAAAACCTAACAAAAAATAAAACCACAAAAATGTAGTCAAATTAAACCTCCTCCCCCCCCCCCAAAAAAAAGAAAGAAAAAAAATACTATTTATTTAAATGAAAGAAAAAATTGTTTTCCTTTGGCAAAATTTATTCGGTTGGTTGTTAAACAGAAAAAGAAAAAAAGTTCTATGTATACACAAAAGATAAAAAGTTACAAAAAACGTTTAAAAATTTCCGTTCAGCAGTAAACTGAGAAGAAAAGCGAAGAAGACAAAAAAAAAATAAAACGACCTAGGTGTGTGTTTGTGTGCAAAAGTGACGAAGCACGCGAGACACATTTTCGATCACTTTTTTTTCGGCTCTTTCGTTCTTCATTTCCAATTCCGTTCGGCGTGTATATTTGGAAAACAGGATTTTTGATCTCGACCATTTCTCCCTCCCGTTCGGCAACGACGACGACAACGACGACGACGACGACGACGACGACGAAGAAGAAAACACACTTCGCGTGACGAAAACAAAACGTAAAACAAAATAAAAATGTCAAGACACTTAAAAAATATGATTTGGTTTGGTGTATCAATTAGTGCTTTTGATATGAAATATTTTCCGAAAGTTCATTGACCAATAACCGCGACAGAAAGAAAGAAAAAAATAGAAGAAAAGTGGAAATAGAGACCGTAAAACAAAACAAAAAATGCAAAAACAAACGGGTTTTCTCATTTCGAACTATGTAACAATTAGAATGACTTTGAACATGTAGCTAGACGTCTGAAAAGTGCGAAAACAATTGAGGAAAAAAAAAGAAATACGTGTGCAATAGTTGTGAAACAAAAAACGGAGAAAAGTTCAATTTTAAAGAAACAAAAAAAAAACGGCCATCAGACAAAGAAAACACAAATTCACAACAAACATTTCGAATTCGATTAGAATATTTTTTCATTTCATCGCTTGAGATCTTTCGGATTCGGTTTTACGTTGCAAAACAAAAACAGACCAAAAATAATTCACAATGCATGTTACCTTTTGGATTTTAGCGGATCAACGTCCTTAGCGGTAAGTGATTCGCAATGGAAAATGAACATGAAAAATTAAATCGTGCAGAAAAAAGGAGCAAAAAAAAATAATGTTTGTCCAATTTGATTGCAGATGAAATAGAAGAGAAAATATTAAGCAAAAAGAAAAAGAAAAATTGAGGAACAAATGATGAAAAGGTGATAGAATGGAAAATGTTGTTGACGTTGAAAATCGAGTCAAAATGACGAGAGAAAAAAACAACGACTGAATACATGTATAGAGTCAGTCCATTCATACCAAATGACCATTGCTACTCTGTTCTTCCCTTTTATTTTGTATCATTGAAAGTGAGATTACTAGTTTTGTTGCGTTCAAAAACACCATATTACCCCTTATTTTTGTACATCTTCAGCATCCGTTCTGTTCTTAGTTATAAAACAAGTTTTGTTCGATTCGATTTTCTCTCTTTCTCTCCCCCATTTGATGAAAAGTAACGGACTTCTGTGATAGAACGCATGTATTTAAAGAAACAGAAAAAAAGCTCAGTGAAATTCATCAACTAATAAGGCCAGGCACGTATAGCCAGTAATCGTCAAATTTCAGAGGAGAGATGACGATTACTGAAAAATCACAGCAAGAAAACTTGGAAGCGGTGATGGTCAAGAGAAATGGTAAAATTCAAACACGAAAAAAGAGGGTGGAAAATAATGAAAACACACACAGAAATAGAGAGGCACACAGGGGCACGTACGCACGCACGCACGCACACACACACTTACGTCTATCCGCTTAGGAGATAGCCATCGAAGCAAGTAGAAAAACAAAAAAAAGGCGATTGAAAAACCAGAAGCAATGGTCCTAAAAAAGACAACGAGATGCTATACCTAAATGGTATGTGAGGAAGAAAAAGGGAAAAAGTGGAAAAATGGTGAAAGTTGTGTAGCGAGCGAGCGAGCAAGCGAACGAACGAACGAACGGAGAGCTTTACTGCTGTGTGGTAGTGGCAGAGAGGAAGAAGAGTGGTGGTGCGATGGATAGCATCAAACGACGACGACGATGAGGAGCCAAACAATTAGGAGTGGATGGACTGGACATAGAAGCCGATTACACACAATAAACAAACTTGTGTCTCTAGTCGCCGCACTCAAAGTACAAGTGGCAAGAGCCATGCTGTACATCTTTTGCTTGTAAATCCGAACATAAGCAGCAAGCGATGTGAGTCGCTGTAGCGTTATAGAGAAATAGAAGAGCAATGTAGACGGATAGATCGAAGTATAGGAAGCATAGAAAGGATAGGAAATGCAGGAGACGAAAACGACGACAACGACGACGATAAACGCTATGTTGTTGTTCGGTATTCAAGCCGTTCGTTGTAAGGATCGAAAGTATTGAGCAAAGGCACAAACGATGAAAGTAGTGAGAGTGGATGGATGTGAGTTGCGTGTATGGAGAGAAAGAGTGGTATGTGCATAGCGTGTGTATGTTGTATGTATGTTGTGTGTAGCGCGCTCGTGTGAGATAGATAGCAAAGCAGCAGCAGCAGCAGCAGCAGCATTCAAAGCGTGTAGAAGTCTGCGGTGGAGTGGAATAGGATTTTGAGGCTAAGCTTTTTTGTGTAGATGCTTATTGCTTATGAGACGATATGAGATGCTTCTGCATGGGATTGCGCATGCTTACCCCCTTGCTCTATCACACACTCCGTACACATAGTATTCAATGTGTCTCCGCTGAGATCGGTGTCGTATTTCGTGCAATTGGCAGACACAGGCGGCGATGGCGAACTGAGTGAGAGAAATAAGGAAAAACTGTAAAATTGCTTGTCGTCGTCCGCCACTCTTTAAATTCTCAAGGCTTCTTCAGTCGCTGGCCAAAAGTCAAACGGGATTGCTGAAATATTTTAGACAACATCTTTCGGTGACGCGAGCGGGTACAAAAAAGGAATATAGCACATTTTTCGTTCGTTGCACAAACATACACAACAGTTACATCTCGCGCGGCGTCGTGTGTGCACCACTCGTTCTCTATAAAAAAAAAGAACAAGAACACAAGGCACAACAACAACACGTTATTACACATAGACATTTATATATATATAATATAATAAAATAATATAACTATAACTACGAAAACGGAGACGGAGACGACGACGTCGACGACGCCGACAACGACGACGACGAAAACGACGAATACGACGGAGACGACGACGGAGAGACTAAGTGGACTTATAACGATATAGAATATAACCAAGTGTGTGGAAGACCAGCGGGTGAGAATATGCTGAGAAACGACGACGGTCCATAGTGTGTGGACACAACGTACATATTATATACATTTCTATAAATGCGATACGATACGGATCCGATCGAGGCTGGCTGGCTGGCTAAACCAAGCACAAGTCGACAAACACACGTATACACATAATTAAAATATGTTTGGAACATAATATATTAAAATATAGAAAATACAAGTGAAACTGACCGATAGCAGCCACTCCGGTTTTTCTCTTCTCGCTCGCTCTCTCGCTCACTCTCGCCTCTATCTCCGGTACACACACACACACTCTCTCTCTCTCTCGTTCTCCGTGTGTTCACTCACTCACAGTGTGTGTTAGTCGTGTGTCTCAAGTTACCCCACTACCGACTTTTCTTTAAGTTATAAAACCAAAAAAACCACCCCTTTACGTAAATGTGGCGTCTTCTTTAGTTTGTAGAAACACCGACTCATACCAGTTCTTCGTTTTCTGCAACGGCGACGACTACGGTTTTATTCGTACGGGAATATAATTTTTGTTTTTGCTCGTTTTTTCTCTGTTCTCTCTATAAATACCGACTGGTGTGTGTTGTATTCGGTGTGTTCTCATGAGATATCATCAAGGCAAGGAGTTATCCTTATTATATAGTGTCGTCGTCGAGGAAAATTTACCATATCTGAATGAACTCTCTTACAGCACGGACGAACTGATGTGATAAAATTCGTCGACGAATATTATTCAATGGGATCTTATAAGAAATTTATTCAAGTGTTTTTCTTCGTGAAAACCGAACCGAACTGAACAACAAAAAATCAACCAACCGACAATTTTCAATACAAGTTTCGAAAAAATAATTCGACATTTAGAGACGAACAACAAGAAAAAAAAATCACCCAACAAAAATACACAAAACATTTTTTCCGCAAATAAACCGGGCTGTTATTATTGAACGAAAAAAAAAACAGAAGAAATACAAACAATTTTCACCAGTTTTCCAATTCAACAACATTTTATGCTGCAAAATTAAACGCTCAATTTTGGAATACCATCAGCATTCTTGGATAATTCAACGTTTAATTTTTTTGGTTTTTTTTTCCAAACAAGTGAACAAACAGATACAGAAAAAAAATTGATAAAAAAAACTGTAATCATGGAAATGTGATAAGAAAAACAGTTACGTTTTTTTATCGCCGCAAAAAGAAAAATAAACAACAAACTGGAGCTATTTTGTTTGAATGGAAAAAAAATGCCCAAACGAAAATTTATGAAAAACAGAAACAAAGAATGCCACTGATAATTAAGTGATATAGTTTCAGCAATATCTACGTCAATTACACATTTTTTCGGATGTTTAATTTTCATTAGTGTGTTGGTGTAGTTTTTGTTCCTTAGTCCGTTCATTTAGAAGTCTTATGTTAGTTTTTTTTTAGTCAACTCTGTGCGTCTAAGGTAAAGTGTTGGTTCAGTGATAAAATGATAACGGTTTTTCTCTTCTTTCCACAATTGAAACATGTTACATCGAAAAATTGACAAAGTTCTTAAGTTATGATTTGAGGGAAAAAATGCAACAACAAAAAAAACACGACAAAACCTAATATATTTTATGCTTAAATAACAGAGAACTGAAAATTTTACAGAAGAAAAAAAAATCTGGAAAAAAAATTATATCTCCGTGACCAATGTATTTGTGATATTTTATTGGTGTTTGATGTTTGTTGATAAGTTCGGACTTTGAATTTTGCTCAATTTTACTCATTTCTATCAATTCATTAATATCAATGGCCAAAGCCGAAGCCCATCACGCTGATAGCTTCATCACACTGTTGTGCTCATACAAATTGGTTTAAAAATTGACAAAAAAAAATGCTCGTTTGATAATATCGATGTTTTCAACCTACACATACGAATACTGAAATATGCAAACAAAAATTATTTAATTTGTCTGCTTAGAAACGGAAAAAATCGTTTACATGAAAAGCGAAAAAAAAATCGAAGGAAAAAAATTCATGTTAGAAAATGAACTGAATTTCATAGAATTTTTTTTTTTTTGCAAAATTTCAAAAATGAGCCGATTTCTCTGGTTTGATTCAAAAAATACTTTACAACAAATAAGAAAATAATTTCAATACTTCGAACAGAAATGATCAAAAATTCGGGCAATCAAATATTTTCCAACATCCAAATATGTGGCGAAAATATTTCTAGCCCAAGGTAAAATATTTTTCCCGAAAGGGTTATTTGTTTACATTTATCACGAATGCACCGCATAGTTAGTGGAAGTGTATGTGTGTGTGTGTGTTGATAGTAAAGCGAGATAAATGTGCACACATGGTCTTACACACAACAGCTCAACGGTCGAGTGTTTGAATGAAGAAAAAAACCCGCAAATTTGTACTTTAAATCCTCATAAACACAGTGCAGCTAGTCGCAGAATAGACACATACATTCGGGCGAACAAAAATGCGAAAGTCAAATTAGAACGACAGCACGGTGCGTTTGTCTACACAAACGTAGATGTCGCTGAATGGCAATTTTTTATTCATTTTTTACCGGCCGACTCGTGTCGTTTGGAACAAACGAAGTGCTTTTTTCCATACAAGTAAAAACGACTTCTTTTTTTTTTCCATACAGAGATAGTATCAACATACCAGTGAATGCTATTCTCCTGATTAGATAGAGCATGCACAAGCCAATGTACTTATGGTAAAAGCCACTTGGTATTTGATAAGAAAAATAACGCAATGAGTAAAAATACAAAAGCAAAATGGAAAATACGAACAAAAATATTTCGATTTTTTTTCCTTTTTTTTCAAGTATTTTTCACTATTGCAAATCTAAACAAAAGCAAATTTCATCATACTCCAAAAAAAAATCCATTAAACACAGAGAAAAAACAGACATACGTTTTAATGAAAATATTCATAAGAAATGGGCGTATGTAAGATAAGACCGACTAAATCCAACGAAAAGTTCAGCTCAACGGTTACTTTTTATCATGAGTCGTACGTTTCAAGATAAAGAATTTAATGTGTCAAGTCCGCCCACTTTTTACGCAGACAATTGTTTCTTTTTTCGACGAAAAATAATACAGAGACAATTGATAAAGTCCTTAATAATTTGAGTGAGATAAATTATAAAAACACGTTTTTATTGTCGATTGAAAACATTTCCGAGCGAAACTCATTAAAATGAACCGTTGAAAATGAAATGGTTTTGATAAGTTTGGAAGTCATTTGCATTGAACAGATCATGAGAAATGATTGAATGAAAAAAAAGGTCAAAAATTCATGAGAAAAAGATTTCCCCCCAGAACGGAAAAAAAAATCCGATAAGCTAAATGAAACGTGTTCGTATTTGTTCATTGACAAAACTAGCGAGAATGCTTTGTCTTTTCAATTACCAAAAAAGGGCTGAAAACGGGCCATTTTTATTCGAATGTAAAAGGTCACATTGAAGCAACTCCATTGTTTTGTCTACAATTTTTTTTTTTTTCATTATCTATTTTATTCTACTGTTTCAGTGTGTTTATTCCACAAGTGATTTTTGGTTGAAATTCAATCAATTCAACTCACTCTCTCCCCTCGAACAACGAAACAGAGCATTTAAACACGATTGTTGTGTTATGCACACCCCGACGGTATACCAATTCGGAAATGTGTCTTTTCGATTTTCTGGTTGGAAAATGTGACCTGTTGCTTCAGTTTTCGGTAATTGTTCTGACGATGGGCTAATTTATTGTGAGGAAATTGAAACTATTATCGACAATAAATGAAAATTGTTAACAAAACAAAAGGCCGGTTTCGAATCTCGGTCGAATTTCTCAAATTCGGCCCTCCCCTGCTGCCGGGTGGTTGAATGTTATTTTGTGAGACATGGAGAAATTCACACACACACACACACACCTTGACGACAACGCAGAGCCTCGATGTGTATTATTACCATTGGCGATATATCGAAAATGATATATGCACGATAAATCAAGTGAAATTGTCAAAGATGAATCGTTTAATTATGTATTGAGGATTCCAAAAAGGAGGAAAATATTTTGAAAAGACAATTGAAATCCGGTTCGGAGAATTCATTTCCACGAAATTCATTTCGGCTTTTTTGTATTTCGTCTATTGTGTTGAACATTTGGGTTGTGTCTTTTCCATGGAACGCATGCATGCATTATACATTAAGTCGATTTTTTTTTGTATTCGGCTATATTCATTTAACAATCCAAATGCGACTAATTACTAAATTGGAATGAGAGACGAAAAAAAAAAGAAATTATCAGTTATCAATTTGAAATGAGCATTAACCGAACACTATCAATGTGAACATCAAGTATTCTTCTCGTTCTCTTTTTTTCCCACCGACTAATTATTCGGATGTTGTTGTTTTTTTTTACGTTTCGAACATCAGCTAGTGCTTAAACTTGTAACATGTACTTCTCTCTTGTATTTTATGGGCGGAGAATTCATCGACCGACTTATTTCGATTGAATTATCTCCAATAATCGGTTTACGTTTTCTTCTTTTTTTTGTGTCTCTTATTTAACGATCGCAGAACAATGTTCTATTGTAACAAATATCCGAGAACAGAAAAAAAAATCGTGAACCAAACAAAAATCCTTATCTAACTGTGCCTTTCTTTTTGTTCGATTGCAGAAAACACCATACACATCATAAATTTGTTTTTCACCGGTAGCGCTATTCGTACTCTTGTCAGGTAATTTAAACACATTTTCTTATAAAATTCATTGTAAAAAAATTTAACTCATTTCGTTGACTTACTTTGGAATATATTTTTGGGTTAAAATCATTGTTAGCTTTTAAGTTTGACTTTTTATCCATTTGTTTAAAATCATTTTTCATTCTTTTTATTGTGTCATTTTTCGAGCGGAATTTCTTCGATTTGGCGATTTAAAATGCATTGTTGTACGTGTACTCTAACACAGCTACGAATTGTTCAAAAGCAAAAAATATTCGCAATTTCTTCATTTCATTTGTAAAATTAAACTCCGTTTCGTTTGTTATACTTCCCTCAAACAATTTCCTTTCCGAATTCAAATTTAATCGCGATTCCATGGGCTTCGCTCAATACTAAATATATAAAACACCTCGTTAAATAATAATGAATCAATGTGTGTGAATCATTCAGTATGGTACGATTGAAACGCTGTGAGTGAATCACAATAATTGACGGTATTTTAAATAAATCAATTTATGAATCAGTCAATTTTTCATTCGATAAATGCAAATCGATGCGAGTGCGCATTAAATTGTCAGTTTAAACGAGTGATAAAAACTCAATTGGATTGAAATTTCTGTAAGGCTGGGTAAAACAAAAGGCGCAAGTAAAAAGACATAACAAAAAGTCGTTCAATTTGCCAAGCAAATCGTCGTGCAATTTTTGCAATCAACTACAAGACTCTTTTATTCCAAGGTGCTTGATTATGACATTTCGCGCTCTGAAGCGTGTGTATTATCGTAATGCGTAGTTTGGATTTCATTCGCTCTTTCTCTCTCTCTCTCTCTATTTGTGATGTTGATTTGCAAGTGTTATTTCAGCATGGCATGCATAATGCAGCACATGTTTATTGTTTAGACAATGGAAAATACTTTTGTTGTCCAATAATCGTGCGCGCATATCACACGAGAAAGAGGGAGAGAACAACAGAAAACAGGAAAAAAAAAGTTTCTTTAATGTGCATGGCAATTGACAGGTACGGTGTTCGCAGAAAAAAAAATGATTACATATCCAATCCGGTTATTTCACCGTCTTCAAACCATCATTTTGTTGTCCCTTTTTTCCTCCCTATTCTCAATGGGTATTATTCCAAATCGACAACAATACCGCGAAGCGCGCACTGTCAAAACTAAGAATGCAAAGAATAATTTCGCATTTGAAATAGATAAAACCGAATGTGGCATTTCACAAGTCAAGAAGATAGTGAAAGAGACATGGAATATCGGGCGGCGTGTGCGATATTGAATTTCATTGATTATGTGTGTGCACCCATGCTACACATTGATATTGCCAAGCAAAATTTAAAACCGAATTAACAACAACAACGCATGTATACCTTTCAACATTTTGAATGATATATGTTGAGATTATCGTGAAACTAATACTTAATTTTACCATAAAAAAAAATCAATGTAAATGGTTCGAATCACGAGCGACGACGACGATGTCAACGCGGAACCGTTTTCCAATAAGAACAAGCAAATCACACCATTTAAACATGTTGTCTTCATGTGAAATTGGAAAACTAGAGACGAGAGAGAGAGAGAGAGAGAGAGAGAGAGAAACGGAACATTCTTTAAACATTAGTTTACAATGGCATAAAATGGGCGTTGCGTTAAATCCAAAATCATTTCAAACGATCGAAACCAACCGAGAAAGGAATGAACTGAAAAAAACTTTCGTGCTCTTTTTACTAGTCTCTTTTTGAGTTATAATTACTCAAAATAAATCGTGTATTCAGTATTGATTGCTTTCAATTAGATGATACAAACGCAATCACATTTAACGGTGAAACGAAAAAAAAAATCAGCCAAATCTTTTTTGATCAGTTTGTATGTTGTCGCCTCGAGTTTAGTGCTTTGCCTTTTTCATTCGTAGTCCCTTCTCCTCTTTCTCTCTCTCTCTCTTCCTCTTTCTCTCTCTCTCTCTCTCTCTCTCTCTCCATATCTATATGTCTCGCGCGCTAGTGTTTCTTTTAAATATGTGTAACATCCACGTTGATAGTTCGGTGTTATTTAATTAAATTCGTTCGGTAAATAGGAATGTACGCACGCGTATCTAATGACAAAAGCCATGAAATTCTCATAAGCCATTATCGCATATGTTACATTTTCTTTTTGTGACTTTTTACAAACAGACAAAAACAACAACAACAACAACAACCACACAGACACAAACGCTGTCTAATTCGCTTCCATTCCACATTCACTCTCTCTACATATATCTATCTCTTTGTCTATTCTTATCGTATTGATTTTGCTTTTGGGAAATTCATCGCGTTGTAAAAACTTGTGATAACACTTCGACGCTTGTTTTTCACTTTGAAACCGTTCGTGTTCTTTTTTTCTTTCTCAATAATATTAATTTACATTATTTTAATTCGCTTGAAAATTTGTACGATGAAATCCGCGCCGTGCTCTCACACATGCATGTAAAAGATTGGAGAAAGGAAATTGAATATCATGAAGTGATGATGATGAGGATTGAGGTATGGTACAAAAAATGTAGTCATTCGGAACTAATTTCCAAGGCTTTTGAAGGCGTAAATAGCGATTGGCCGTTCAAAAAAAAAGAAAAAAAATGTGCACATTGCTTGCGACGCTGAACAAACATGGAAAAAAAGAAGAAAGGACAAAAACATATACACATATGTCGCATCGCAAAATCATTGCACGACAGCGACAGATCATCAAGTGATAGTCTTTTTGCTATCGCAATTTCATTAATATGATATCGTTAAATTATTTTTGCCTTGATGGCGTCATCGTCGTCAAGCTGCTCTCTGTTTTCGCGAACTCTTTTTTTTTCTCTGTCCTGACGTCGTTTGTACACGTTTCGTCTTTCATTTGCATCGAAACGATTAGCTTTTTTTCATCATCATCATCATCATCATCGTCGTCGTCAACGTCGTTATCATCGCACTGTTGAGTTTGCCATTTTTTTTCTCGCAATTTTTCCCTTGTCGCGCTTACAGGAATGGAGATAATTGTCGCTATTATTTCTATGTGCAAAAGCATTGTGTACGCATGCCATGGATGAATGAGAGAGAGAGAGAGAATCGAAAAAAAACTCAGAGAAACTAGTGAATATGAGGCGAGCGGCGAAACAAAAAAATAATAATAATACATGGTCTCTCGTCATTGCACAAAGAACTATCATGTATTTGGTGCACACACATATACATAGTATTCCAGCTTTTATTAAAGTCACCTTGCGCGTACATAATCTAATTGTAAGAGATGATGCACCTTCCGCTCAGCAGACTTTATTAATACATTTTCATCATTGTTTGCTTTATCTCCTATCTGTTTGTGTAAGCAAGCGCGCCAGAAAGAGAGAGAGAGTCTTTTTTCCCTCTCCGTTCATTCGGTGTGTATGTTCGCTGCTCTGTATAGATATGCACACGGCTCTGTGTTTGTGTGTCTGTGTTTGGCGTTTCACTTCAGTTTGCACACATAGAAAAAAAAAACAAACAAAATATCGTGAGGCACCAACAACAACAAGTGAGTGCGCTCATTACTCGATTCAATTCAAAGCCAATTCGCGATTGACAGAGGAAACGCGCACCGACCAATCGAGCCGAGAAAAATGAATATAATGACACAACGAATACATCTTCCGTTCGGCGGATATTTGTAAATTCTGATCTAATCTAAAGTAATTGACTTTCATATAGAAATCACTATATATGAATGGTTTGGAGCGAAAATGTGATACAGAAAAGTTGAGCGGAAAAATGTCGATGATGAATGAGCGGAAAAGGGATGGCTATATAGTAAACTATAGTGAACTATATAGCTGTCCCTTTTCATTTGACATTTTTCCACTCAACTTTTCTGTATCACATTTTCGCTCCAAACCATTCATATACACGGTATCTCACTCTCACCAGCTATTCTCTCACGCGCTGTGTGTATGTGTGTGTATTCACTCTTAATTCTCGTCTCGTTCCATCGATGAGATAGACACAGACAGAATTGGCTAGGGCTATTAGACCATTAGCGAACACGATCTAAATTGTAGCTAACACAATTTTGTACTCGGTATTTCTTTTGCATATACACGTACACACAATGGCATGGCCCCGCACACCATACCGTACAAACAGCCGCTTAATACTCCGAGCTCTAATTAAGTTTTTGTGAGCTTTTTTTCGGAATGTCCCCCAACATGATCGGTTTTTTTTCTTCTTCTTTTTTTCAACATTTCTATTGATTTTGAGTCGTTTTTCATATCGCACCTCCCAACTGAATTCACATGTCCATCATGTTTAATAATATGAATACTATGAACATTGAACAGTTCAATAGTTTGATCAAAAATAATAATTTGTCTAACTCTCTACAGTATCACCAATCGTATCTTGCATGTGAAAATGTCTTGTTTTGTTACACCGAAAAAAGGACAAGTTTGGTTTTTAGCTTTCTGAATTCTAAAAGGAACAAAGTTATTCCGAAAACACAAAAGAAGCCAAAATCACTGAATCAAATCCAGAAAAATCTTGCTCAAGCTCGAAAAAATTCTAACGCTAAATAAACGATTCTCAAGCTCAACAAGAAGAAAAATTCATTTCCAACCTGCAAAATGTCTCAGCTCCGCCTTTTATCTACTGCTATTTTAGTGGCCTATTCAAATTCCAGCTTTTGTTTGTTTGAATTTTCATTGTGTTTTTTTTTTACCATATAATTGGATTTTGTTATTGCTTGTCATTGAGTTGAAAAATGATTCGTTTGAATGTGCCTAAACAAAATGAAATTATAAAGTCGAGTGATTAGTTTTTATCTGAGACACTCGGTCTTGATTGGATTTCAAATGAATGTTTTTCATAATAGCATCAACCGAAAAAAAACGAGTGCGCACTGCGCGCTCATTATTATTTTGCCAATGAATAAGTTTTTGGTTCGAAAAGGTTCTCTCTCTCTCCATAGAATGAGGCAGAAAAAAGTAGGTGTAGTTATTGAAAACAATAACTGAACGAGAGCGAGAGACGACAACAACAACAAAAAAAAGAATCACGAAAACTTATTCAATGTGTTCGTTAATCCATGACTATACCGAGAGAGAGAGAAAAAAAGAGAGAATAGAATGTTGTTTGTCCGAAAGCCTGTTGTTCTGTTTATTTCGTTGACTTATTGCATTGGATATCGTACATACTAGTCTAGTTTCGAATTAAAGTGTTTTAAAAACGCGAAAAGAGCCTGTCGGTCGCGCGGTCGTCTGCTCATGCTTTTTGTCCGCGCGACTCGCTTTTTTCTCATTCGCCCTCTGTTCCTCTTACTCGTTCGCTCATTCACTCGGTCAAATATACAATGCAATAAGATTATCACAACAATTTCCAAAACAATAAATACAACAAACAAGCACTTTGGAGCGCGCTACCCATCTCTCTCTCTCTTTCTCTCTCTCTCTCTCTCTCTCTCTGTTTCGCTTTCGAAATGAAATTCCGACAGAAAAAAGCAACTGTACAATTTTACATACATATATATCGTGTCCATTTGTCTTTTTCTCTCGTTTCAGAAAATAAGTTTATCTAAATAATAATAGTAGCTAACATCCGCAAAAAGCAACAAAAGCAACTCAACAAGCACACGACAACAGCCAACAAAACTTCCTCATATCCGGTTTTTTGTGTGATCGATAAATCAGGTAAATGGAAAACAACGTTCAGTTGTTGTTGCGTTTGTTTTTTTTTCTCCACACTGTTTTTGTTTTCACTTCGCTTGCTCTTTTTCTTTTACGTTCTGGAATGGTGTTTTTTTTTTCTCTCATGTTTTCAATGGAACCAGCGCTGATTTGAGTCGATGTACTCTTTTTTTTATATTCATTTATTTCATTCTTTTAATGCCAATAAAATATATGAATTGTATATATGACATTCTCTGTCTTTTGGGATTCGAACAATGCCACTTTACAGCGGCAATGGCCCCGTCCCCCCGCTTCGGTCGCATTCAAATGACAACCAAAGAGAAATTAAAGCAACAATACACGGCACGTTTTGCAAGTGCCGAAATTAACAATTCAAACTGATCTTTTATCAACGTCACGGAAAGAATAGCGGTGTGCGCGCATATAGCAGCACAAAGTCTCATTTGAAGCGGTCATTATCATTCATCTAATAATGTCATGCTTGATGGACTCTGTAGTTTGATTTAATGTGCGCGCCTTGATCCATTAACAAGTCCACAGCGAAACAATTAGATTTGTTGAGATAATGTGAATATATCGTAACGTTCGATGGAATTTTTGGAAATTTAGGCATTAGCTAAAACAAATCTGTCCAATCCAGTCTTTCAAATCGAAAAAAAGAGGAAAAAATTGGAGAAAAGAATGAGAAAACTCAACGAAGAAAATCGTCTGACTTCGAAACCGAAAATTCAGTGAATACAAAACTTGGAAGCATTTTTTTTCGCGGACAAGTCCCACATTGTGCTATTCAAAAAATGCTCTTCTGCTTTTGCAAAAATGTTATTCAATCTTTTTCTCCCCATTACCATTTTCACTACTCGAAAATTCTGCTTCGTTTATTTTGCCGGTTGTATGCATTCAGTCCGAGTTCTAAATGAGAAGAAAGCGAGCAAAAAGAAAACACCATGAATTTTTCACTTAAAGGAATGCATGAACCGAACATTTGTAAGTAATGAAAAGTGATTCACCTCAAAATGCATGCCAAGTGTGGTGATTGAAGTGAATGAAAAAATGGGGAAAAAATGTGCTGATGCATTCCATAAACGGTGTGTGTGTGTGTGTGTGGTGCATTTCTCCAAGTTTTCGTCGAGTTGACTTGGGAATATTTGGTTGTGGGATATTCCGAGTAGAGATTCGGTAAACAATTGTGCCCAACGAAATGAATAGTTAGGCAGTGATTGAACATGAGAATGGGAGTGTGTGTGTGTGTGTGTGTGTGTGAGAGGCGTTTAGTTGCTCAGAGAAGTACAAAATGGAAAATCAACCAACGAAAAATAAATAAAAAATGTATTCCGTATTTCAGCTAGATTATGAGCGAGAGATACCCTTCTTGTGAGTAATCGCACACAGTTAACATCAATAATACCCAGCTAAATACAACGCGTCTATATTGGCATTGCGACGTGGAGTTTATTACTTTTTCCGATTGTTTCAAGTGAGCGAAACAAACAACAACATCGGAGAGAGAGAGAGAGAGAGAGAGAGAGAGAGAGAGAGAGAGAGAGAAAAAAAAGCGAGTGCACCCGATTAACATTGGCAATGCAAGAAATATTTTGTGAAAAAATCATGAGATCGAAACAAGAGACAGAGAAAAATGAATAACACAACACCGGTGAATCACGTTGGATTTGCATGAGCCGAAAAAACATTGAAGCCACAACAACAACAACAACAACAGCAACGAAACGGATGGTGATTTGATAGGTAGATATTCGTTGGCATTCGACGTTCATAATCATCATCAGTCTTCCCGAAATGATGACAATGCATTGGATTATTTGCATTTATTTGCGGCAAAGTCTCTAATAATAACGGAGAGGTTTTTTTTATGCTATTTCGGCAGCCGATGCATTTTTGAGTCGAATGCATACGTACTGGGAAAAAAATACTGCTGGCTAAGCGCTAACTGCTCGAGCTGCACAAAGTGAGACCAAAAGAGTGAGAGTCTATATGCGAAACGTTTAACTCGAAATCGAGCTCTCTATAGCGAGCTGCACAGCACTCGGCCGCCCGCCCGCGCGCATACGACTCAAAAAATAGATTCCTTTTCCAAGTTGTTGCCTTCTATTTTTACCTCTGTTTCACCTTTTCCTTCGCAAATAGCGCCGCGGTATGCATCAACGCTGTGTGTGTGTGTATTGCTCGCTGTGTGCCGTTGTGGTGTGCTGTGTGCGTTTTTTTTTCTGCCTTCGCTTCTGTCATTTAGATCGAAATTAATAATGATAACAGTAATAATTATTATGGATTCGAATTCAGTGCTCAGTGCTCACAACAGACGTTCAGCGTGAGCAAGCAACCGAATCATTTCTCTCTATCAAAATGCTCGCGCTCTCGTCTCTGCGTTTTGAGCGCGAGCGCACTGTATATATTGCAACAAGCCGACTACAAAAACACACGACGAAATGCATTTCATGATTCATGAAAAACTCCTCCGTGCACAAGGATAAATGAAGTGGCATAAAAATAAAACGGAACAATTGTTTTCAGTGCTACAATTCTGTTGTTGTTGTTGTTGTTTTTTTTTCACTCGGCGCTGTTGTGTGTGTTGTGATGGAAAGCCAAAATGTGCATTGAATGACCTAGCATTTTCTGAGCATGTCTTAGTTGCATTCAAAATCGATTTTGACGCTTCATGAATTGCAATCCTCCTTCTTACTCGTCGTCGTCGTGAAATGAATATTCTTATATTTGCCTCTCCATGCCCATTGTTAATCGATTTTCATTCACAAGGAATGACAACTTTGGTGAAAAACGTTGCATTTTCCTATGAGAATCGCATCGAACGAGTGCATTTTGTTGCATAAACATTTTGGTTTTGCTCCGATGTGTGTTTTTTACTCTCTCTCTCTCTCTCTCTCTCTCTCTCTCTCTCTCTCTCTCTCTCCTCACTGGGAAAAACAAAAAACTGCACTTTTAATTTGATGAATCGATACAACGAGCTATCGATAATGAAACATGCTAAATATTTACCAATTTCCATCAACAAAATCAAAATTTCAACTGTGTTTTCATACAAAACCCTGAAGAGCTCCATATTAACCGCGCGCTTTTGCTCGTCTTTTTTGTTGCACTGCATTTTTTATAACTGCACAAACAACAAAAACAACAACAATTTTTTTTATCGCTAGCAAAAACATTTTTGCAAACATTTAACCCCGATCGCAAGCATGATGTATTGAAAACTTTCAATGGCATTCGACGCGCACCGCTTTCGATAGGCCACTTAAAAATCAAAATATATGTAAATAAATATAATTATAATTTTTTTTTCCACCAGGTTTTTAATTATAACTTTTGTTGATATGCACGCACATGAAAAAAAAAAATACATATACGCGCACGCTCGCACGTCCGCGGATTGAAATCCACAAATAATTGATGCAATCAAGCACAACCCTCCGGTCGATATACATTGTTCCAAAATTAGAAAACGATAGTTTAATTTTTCGTTTCGTTTCGGTTAGGTCAACTTTCGGATGACAAATATTAATGATTCTCTTTCTGATTCTCTTTGTTCGAATTCAATTTTTGTTGTTTGATTGTTTCGACCAAGCAACAAGTTGGCCAATTAAAAAAAATTGCCACTGTTCTGAATATAAAGCCACCCTGAACAATTTTTTTGCGCTTTTATGCGAAAAATACCAGAAAATTCTTACACTTCCCCCAGCGCAACGCAAATATCACCGGCTATTCCGAAGCATAAGCACAGTTAAACGATGAACCCGACAAAAACAGCATCTTCTTGAAATTTCAAAAGAAAATCTCCTTTTTTTGCTACAAGGAGCATATTTCCGTATTTTAAAGGAACGATGGCAAAATGGTGGTGCACAAAAAACGTGGCTGATGGTAGGGAAATAGACAAACACAAAAAATACGATGGTTATGGTTTTCTTTTGTTACCACAAAACGAAATCAAGTAAGATGTTATGCACGAAGCGAATATAAACACTTTTGGGGTGGCCGCTTTGATAAAGAGCATCCAACAACGCTCTTTGCTTCACACACTTTTCATCTTTCCGAAAGACTGTTTTCTATGCTGGCAAAAATCTTTGTCACGTTTAATGAAGGGGAACTGAGAAAAAGCGTGTCTAAGAAATAAAAAAAATGAAGAAGTCAAAAGAAGAGTTGGTCCTACGATGAAACGGGACCAATGATTAAAGTGTAAATAGTACATTTTTTACGTCACTTTCAATACGATGTGTCTAAAAATGGAACTATTTATAAAAATGTGATATTTCAAGCATAGCAGACATGCAAAATCCCCTTTTTTATAAGAAAATACTTATTAAATGTTATGAACGTGAAAAACACGAGAAAAATATTTTCCCAAAGTAATTCGAAGTCGAAAGAGAAAAAAAAATGTAAAGAAACTAACTTCACAACGACAAGACAAGTCAAATGGTCAGCAAATGAACGAGAAAAGCGAGCAAATCGTTCATGAAGACGAAATTCAAAGCGTTGATTTTCTGCTTCATATACAAAATACACTGTGTACATTGTAATCCATTTGATAATAATGATTTCTATAAGCCAATAGACGAGCGTCTTGAATTCCTTGAGGGTAGCTTTACGTAATTGGACGTTCAACAGGTGCACCAATGTTTGGGTACACTACATTTGAGATGATTATTGCTCAAAAGTGGTTGGTTCGGTTTCATTGAACAAGGGTTTGCATTCCTTGAGAATGTCTTCAGCATTGAAATTCACACAATGTGTGCTTTCGTTGAAGTGGAACCGAAATTCCATCACAGTGTCGAATGAATAGTATAGCAATGAATTCATATGATCCCATTTATAAAAGCCAAAGCGGTAGACGAAAAAAAAAACAAATAATAAATGGACAACTTTACGCACCGAGAGGGAGAGAGAGAGAGAGAGAGAGAACGTTAAGTGATTTAGATATTCCTTCCGCTATTCCGCTGTTTGATGTGCGTCCCCTTCGTTGTATTTCTTTTCGATAT